CAGCCAAGCTGCCATCCTTTGCAGGCAGCCAAGAGAAGCACGCTCTTGGCTTGTCCCCTGCAGTGACACTAGCCAGGGATGAGCCACCCTAAGATGAGATCCCCAGCAAGTGCCGTGCGCCCTGTGGGCCTCTGTACCTTCAGGATGAGGTCTCCCTCCTGCAAGGAGCCGCCCTTCGCCGCCAGCCCGCTCTCCACTATGTGCTTGATGAAAAGCTGACTTCCCAGCTTCAGGCCATACTCTGCACCAAAGAGCCCGTGACAATGCCGGAGCCAGGCAGATGCAGGACCCCCTCGGGGTCTCCCCTCGCCACCATCCCCACAAGCCCACCCCGGCTCCCCTTGGGCACTAGCAAGCCCCAAAGCTGAGCTCTGCAACCCTGGGCTGAGGCCAGGCGTGTTTGGTGCACCCAGCACGGCAGGCACTGCCCAGTGCACCCAGACCCTGGCACCAGCCCTGCCATCGCCTCCTCCCCGGGGGACGTATGGCCACAAATCAGGCGACAAGACCCAGGGACAGAGGAACTGGGAGGGCCTCACCTTCGTTCTGCTTCCTCTTCACCAGGACTGACGTGATGGGCTTCATCGGCACATCCTGGTGCGGCAGACGCTTGAAGCCCGACACCAGGGCCAGCCCATTGGTGTCCCCTTCATGGCCGAAGCCATTGGCAGAGTGGTGCCGGCTGTAGCCCCTCCGCTCTGAGCCGCTGCCGGGGCTCTGCCTCCAGTGGCTGCTGTCCTGGCTTCGCCTCCGGTTCCGGGACACCGACTTGTGGTGGCGGCGGTCGTCCCGGTGGTGGCCAGAGCTCCTCTCGCTGGACGAGTCCCCGTCGTAGCCCTGGCTGTGGTCCAGGTCATCCCGGGAGCGGTGCAGGGCTGGATCCGCACCATGCAACCCGTAGTCCTCGTCCGAGTCATAGCGCCTGGGCGTGGTGGGGGACCCGGGGCTGCTCTTGCTTATAGGGAGGTGGACTTTCTTCGGTCTTTTCAGTGTCTGCAGGTGGAAAGTGAGAAGGAGAGGATGGTGGGTGCAGCCCTCTCTGCCAGGAGATGTTTCTACAGCAGCAATTTCCAAGCCCCAAATGGGAACCCCGGGGTGTGTGGGACAGGGGAGCCGGTACGGGGACAGGCACAGTGTGGTCCCATGCATAACACCGGACCCGTCCCACCACAGGGCACACTCACAATGTTGGCGATCTTGCCACAGGTTTTAAGTGTCTGGATGGCAAAGGAGGACGAGACGTTCTCCATGGAAAGGCCATTCACCATCACGATGTGATCCTTCCTCCTGGGAGGGAAAATGCAGCCGTGGCTCTGCCC